CTGTCTTGGCCAAAACAGTCACGGTGGTGTTAGCCTTCTTGGCCACAAAACCAGGGAATAAAGTGCAGAGATGGCTGGGGAAGAACCTGGCCAATTCTATCATCCTTTCTTGCTCTGGTGTCCAAGTTGTCCTCTGCAGCCTCTGGTTGGGAATTTCTCCCCCATTCCCTGAGTCTGACATGTTCTCACAATCTGGGGAGATCATCCTGCAATGTAACGAAGGCTCTGTTGCCATCTTCTACCTTGCCCTTGGCTACATGGGCTTCCTGGTTATCATCTCCTTCATGGTGGCTTTCCTGGCCAGGAATCTACCTGGGGTCTTCAACGAAGCCAAGATGATCACCTTCAGCATGCTGGTCTTCTGCAGTGTCTGGGTCTCCTTTGTGCCAACTTACCTGAGCACCAAGGGGAAGTACATGGTAGCCGTGCAGGTCTTCTCCATCTTGGCCTCCAGTGCTGGCCTGTTGTGCTTCATTTTCATCCCCAAGTGTTACATTATTTTCCTAAGACCAGATTTGAATACAAACGAACATTTATTGTCAAAATAAAATCGAAAGTAATTTTTGATACGTATTTCCCCTAAATCCCAGGTAATTATTCCAAAAATATTGCTACTGTAATGATCCTAAAAAAGCACAGGCATGCACACACACGCACACAAACACACACAAAAAGATTTGGTTTTCTGGGTTTTTTTGTTTTGCATCACATAGAAATAAACCACCAGTTTTAATAAATATATTTCCCCTTTTGTTCTTTGTGTTTAAGTATGTAGGAAACTGCGGTTGGTGTGTGTGTGCTTTGGAAAAGTTTAGGAGAATTTTGCCAAGGGTATGTTTGAAGTGAGAGCCTCCAAAAAATTACATTGAAGAGCACTTTCACAATCAACTGATGTGAGGAGGTCAGCAAAATCCTAAGATGTTCCTGCTTGACCCTGAACTCGGGGGTTTCAATCACCTACAAATAATTCTGGCAGGAGGTTCATGTTCCACCCCTTCCCGATCCTCAGTTGAGATCCTCAATTTATTTATTTATTTATTTATTAAATTTATCTCTGCCCATCGCCCCCTAATGGGGGACTCTGGTTAGCTCACAGAATCCATTAAAATAATAAATCCATATAAAATTTGAAAAGACATAAAAACTTTACAAAATGTTACCAAGAAGAAAAAGTCCAAGTGGCGGATGGTCTCCTGGACTGGAGACGAAAGGCTTCTAAGGGACTAGCCGTCCCCACACTCAATGTGTCCCATCCTCCCCCCAGGCCATGTGACACAACCAGGTCTTCAAGTCCTTCCAGAAGGCCAGGAGTGAGGTGGCCAATCTCAACTGGGGGCAAGATATTCCAAATGGCGGGGGCTACAGCTGAGAAGGCCTGTCTTCTGGACCCCACTAATCAGAGCTCTTTTACCGAGGGGATCCGAAGCATGCCCTCTCTGTGTGATCGGGTGGGATGGGTTGAAGTCATGGGGAAGAGGCG